TTTTTTAATTTTTTTTTTTTTTCAGGTTTCTCAATATAATCAGACGCTTACTGCTATTTTTCGTTCTTTTCTTTCTGGGATTGCGGCGGTGTGGGTGGAGGAGGAGGGAGGAGGCACGGTGGTGAGAATGCCCCGAGGAACTGGGGGATATAGGCTTGGGATTGGATGGTCAAAAGTGGTGCTTGGGACCAAGAATGGACAAACATATCTCGTAACGTGGCTGCAGTTATTGATGATGCTTGTACACTATCTTCAAGTGGACGGTTATAGAAATTTCATTTATGGAAATAAAGTTATTTCACATCTTGGTTTCTAATAATAAATGCTCATGAGTTAATTGTTTCCAATTGAACTTACGTCTGTATTTTCGACTTTTCACTGAAATTTTAGATAAAAATTTTAGGTTATTACATTTATCAAAATGTTGGACATTACTCACACATTCGTTACTCAACTCTACTGGAATTGGTGACATGGCATATGGAATGCACGAGCGTAACTCATGACATACCAAATTGTCACATAAGAAAAAACGTCTTTGATTATTCACTGTACTTCGAAAAAGGTCTTTGATTACTCATTATATTTTTAAAAGTATAATGAGCAAACAAAAACGTCTTTAAAAGTATATTGAGTAATCAAAGATTTTTTTAAAATACAGTGAACAATCAAACATGCCTTTTCTTACGTGGCAATTTGATGTGCCATGAGTTACTTTACCTGTACATTCCATCTACCATGTCACCAATTCCCCTAACATTGAGTAACGAATGTCATTCCAATGAATAACATCTAAGTTTAATAGCCAAAACTTGACATCTGAAACTTCAATGAACAGTCGAAAACACAAACATAAACTCAATGATTATTGAGACAATTAACTCAATATTTATACATTCTTTTTTACTATTTGTTATTTGTTATAATTCCTTAAGAAATTGGCTTCAACAATCTTGAATATCTGTCCATTTTGCGGGTTTTGTCTAAATCTTCAAATTTCAGCACTAATAATGTTAGATCCATACATTTTTTGTACAATCTATCCTCTCCGTAAATGGATTTCGTCCAAAAATATCATGAATTTTGCACCTGCACAACAGTTGCTTTATTTGTTTTTTTATTAAAAGGGACAAATTTGTTAAATCAAAAAATAAAATAAGTAAAAAAATATGTTTAAACAATTAATTTAAATAAAAAAATAAAAGAAAATGCAATCACCTTCTTCTTCCACCCATGACCCACTCTACTCGCACCACACCGCAACGCAACGTAAACCGCTAACACCATCATGCCCCGCCACGTCATGCCACGTTCATGCCAATCGTCGGTCCCACCAATGACCATCCCCAACCTCACTATTGGCACCACCAATAACCAGCTCTAAACTCAAAACACTTGAATCTTAATCAAGGCATCCGTAGGGGTGGCATTTGACTCGTCGAATTGTGGCTATTGACCTATAAGTCAATATAGCTCCACTTGTTTTGATTATAACAAACAAATCAGTTATATTTCTAACAAGTTTTGTTTCTTGAGTTTTTTATGAATATATCTTCTTGAACATTCAAAGACTTAAATCGTCATCCGTTGAAGAACAAATAATCAAATGAGACTCAAACAGAACAAGAACTTTGAAAATTAAAG